TACTCTCTGAAAAAAATTACACTATAGACACAACTATAAGAGAAACATTGGCATAAGTTACAAATCAAAGAGCAGGAAAGTATATATCAAACAAATGACAACCAAAGGGGGTGTGGAAGAGGAGGAGTGGCAATTTTCGTTTATGACAAAATACTAAGGCAGAAACCAGTAAAAGAGACAAGCACGTGATATAATAATGAAAAGGTCAATCTAACAATAGGACACACCGTAATGTTTTCCATGCAGCAAATAAAATATCCCCAAAATACATAAAGCAGCTTTTAACGTGGCAGAAAAGAGAAACAGACAATGTGACAATAGAAGACATGAACCACTCGTGATGAGGGACATCTCAAGAAACCCAACCAAGAAACAGAAGATGGGAGCTGCACACGCAGCCCACGTGGACTCAGGGGCATACAGCGCACACCTCGTCCAACAACATGTTACACATTATTCTCCACTGCACATGGGTCATTCTCCAGAACAGACCATTTGTTAGGTCACAAAGCAAGCCTCAGCATGTTGAAAACATTGAAATCATAAACAGCATCTGCTCAGATCATCACCTTGTAAAGGTCAAAAGCAGATCGATGGACCTATGATTTGCAAAGACCTAGACCCTTGAGAGAGATCCCAGACCCCGACTGGTCCATTAGGTTTCCGTTCAGCTACTAACCAAAAGGTTGGCAGGTGCAACTCCCCTAGTGAGCAGATCTTAAGAGAAAATCATGAAGACCCAGTGTCTTAAAGAGTACACGTAAGAAAACCTTATGAGAGTGTTTCTGCATCACAACCCATGGGGCTGTCATCAGTTAGAATCAACTGCATGGCAGCAAGCTGTTTGTGTAGAAGCTTTCTTTGTCTTCGTGGTCACTGCTCCCACACAACGGGCTTGTCATCGATCCCGTCCTCGGCGTATGGGGCATATGTGGGAAAAGGGAACGTGCAGATACTGAACAAAGAAGTCCTGACGACACACGGTGGGGAGTGAAGGCAGGATGGAGAGCAGCTTCAGTTGAGAGAACCTCTGATTGACGGGCAGGAGGGAAACATTGAAGAATGGAGTAGGATTCATGGGTGAACGTGGCGAGAAACATACATGTACCAGGACAACACTCCTCCACCATGAGGAGCAATGAAGCCCTGAATTATGGCCCCACAGGGATGAGCCACGTTCACAGTATGCAGAGTGAAAGAGTCAGTTCACAAGCAAGAATATGACAGTATTTCAGTTGTATCAAATGAGCAAAGATAAAGAGACCAAAGATTATCCGTGCTTACAAGAGGTGAAGTACACATCTTTATGGGAAAAGAGTCCTCATCTTCCTCCTGTGGGGCAGCTGGAGGTTCTGAACCAGCTTTTGGTTAGGAGCCCAGCACTCAACCCACAGCGCTACCAGGGTGCCTTACAGGGAGTAGAACAGAGGGGGAGGGGAGGTTTAGTTTGAGGGTGTAGAGTTTGGACAGTGAGAAAGGTTGTCCAATTTCAAAAATGTAATCCAGAGCAATGAATGAGGATGTGAGAATTATCAAATTGGTCAGCGTTTTAGTGTGTATATGTTCAGGGCAATAATAAAAACCCCGGAGGAGTAAAGATAAATAAGAAAGGGAAATTATGTTGTGGTGAAATTGGTTGAGGAAGAATTAATTATTTTATTTACCTGGTGTAGCTCTTCATATGTTACTATCAAGAAATTCTCTTTCCCTCTCATTTGCAGCCAGCCTTGACAATGGTCAAACCACGATCCATAAGGAACTGAAAGAGAGGTTGGGAGAAAAGTGGCTCTTTGGGTCATCTGTGTACGCTCAGTTGCATGGCTATTTCTTGCCCACGTGTGCATGTCATAAACACTTGAACAATAAAGGAGTGGAGTCATGGAGAGTCTCATTTCTTTCCCCAAAATCATAACAAATAGGTTTTGCAATTACCACGTCAGTGGACAATCACGATATCATGTAAAGCACGGTATTTAAGAACGGTTTCACATCTATGCGGATGAGAAATGATATTTTGAGGTTGAGGGGTAATAAAATTAGCAAATGGATAAGACAAGCTTGAACTCACGGTATTTTGCAATCTAGTCTGGAGAGCCACCCCACCCCCAGCAACAACAAGCAGTCCTCTACTGCAGGTTCTTGTTGTCTGATCTTTAGTACTCAATGTCCTGTGGTTGCCATCCATCTAAGTTCATGGGGATAACAATTTACACAATTTCCTCCATGTCTTTATGTCTGTCTCTTAAAACAATGGTGGCTCTCACTCTTCATAGCATAGCAGTGTTCTTTACGTTTTCAGTTGGATAATATTTCATTAGATTGCTTGTGTACTATATGGATTTTTATTCTTATCTCTCTGCTATTACAAATAACGCTAAATTGAACCGTCCTTTACATCTATCACCGACCTACATCTTCTAACTATCTATCATCTATCATCATCGATCTATCTCTATATACCTGGATCTTTGCCAGTGCATTGAAATTACTTCGAAGATGAATGCACCAAGTGTAAATGCACAGTTAAGTTTGTTATATTACCAAAAACTGTACTCCATCCTGAAGGATGTGCGTTTTCCTTGAACTTCATCAGTACGTGCTTCAAGTTATCTTGACCTCAGCAAGCTACCTTGTGTTATCGATACAACTGAGATTGCTTCTGTGTATTTTTCCAGTTCTGATGCTGTGTTCTTCCTGTACCCATACTCCAGGGTTGGTACAGTGAAAATGAAAGAAGAAAAACCCAGAAACTTCTCCAACACGTCCAGAAACAAAGGAAACCCTGCCAACACCTTCATTTTGGCGATAAGAACCGTTTGGTGATGACAACATTCTACAATTGATTGTGGTAATGATGGCACAACTTTTAAAAAATATATTCAAACCATTGAATTACACGGCATGTGAATTATATGTGAATAAAACTGTTTCTAATATAATATTTTTAAAATATTTGGACTTTGGACATCCAGAAGTATAAGATACAAATTCTTGTTGTTTCATAGAACTATATTTGTGGAAATTTATTGCAGCAGCAAAAGTATGTTCAGATGATAATAGGGTTGTTTAAGCCATGGGATTGTTCGTCCTGGTGGGGAAGATCGAGAAAGTCATTGCTCCATCCAGATTCCATACTCGAGTCAAACTCACCATTTCCCTGAAGAAACCATTCAAAACATTGGTCAAATGTCTGTGGATGTTTTACTCCACTTAGTAGTCTAAAAAAGTAAAAGTTAGAAGTAAGAACATCTCTGGGATTTCTGAGTAGGTAAATCATCTGAAATTGAACAAGAAAACAAAACAATAAGAAAAAATGCATTATTTTCCCTTTTGCTTTTGGATTTTTGCAAATGGAGGCAACGTCACTTTCCATCAAAATGTTTGGCTGCCATATGGTTTTATTCCACTAATTGGTTCCAGAAACCCCAAATGTCGAACATTATTATGTGGTAACCTGAAGATTTAGTAGAATGTATTTAGTCTTTTTTCTAAACTCCCAACCATGGGCCTAGGAAAGTAGCTTTATTTGGTGAACAATCTTCACTAATCATAGAAAAAAACCTTCAAATACACGTTCTCTAGGCTGAAAATGTGCCCCATAGTAAGCCCTCTATTAATCCCTCTATTAAGGAGACGTCTTTAAAAGGTTACTATAAAAGAAGTCTCATTCCCATGTCTGGCTAGTCATTATGCCTGAAGGTTATTTGTAGATACAAGTAATCTGGTTCTACAGTCCAACCCACCATAACATGTAATAACCCTCTTCTGACTTCTCTTGCTGATATGGATGATAGATTGCTGCCCTGGGGAGGGCTCAGGGACATTCAAGGTCAATTTGCACTACGTGAAGAAGAGAATTCATTTCCTTGCCTGCTTATTATGTCACCCGCTTATGACATTACCCATTGACTGTGTAATCTGTTCACTGTATAATATGTATGCCTTTTGAGAGACGTGTAAGCCACATGATAGGTCCACATTGGAAAATACATTCACTCTCTTGGTCCTGATATAGGGACAAGCAGCCTCTGTGCCCCACTGTCTGTCTGCTCTATTTTCAACAGCCCCTAGTCACTCCCAAGGACCCTTTCAACTGTTGGGGACTGTGCCTCCAAAACTGGTGCCCAACATGGGACGGCAAATGGTGTGCAACTTGGGGCCCCACGGAAAGACTTCATGAGGAGCAGAGCAGACTTCCAGCACAATGCCTTTACCACTGCACTGAAGATAGGTGAGAATAAGGAAATTATTTTGAAGTGAGAATTCTGTCAGGGGCTTCTAATATATCACAGTGATATGGGGCAAGGTAAAAGTAAGTCTAAATCTATAACTTACTGTATTATATCACCCATTTTTTTACATAAAAATGACATAGCAATAATGAAAAGAAACATGAATATTTCCTACAAGCAATGAGAAAAGACAGTCCTTGGTTCTCTGAGGAAGGAACCTTAGATCTATGGACCTGCGAAAAGGTTGCCTCAAATTTAAAGAGAGGGAAGACTATCCCCAATAAGACCTGGTCTCTTTGGGATCCAGTTAAAAGTCTTAGAACCTCTTCAGTCAGAGGAAGAAATAAAGGTGAGCATAATGCAAAGTCTTGTATAAGCTGTCCCCTTTACAAAAGCAGACTAAAGCTTTTTGAATGAGTATGGTGACCTGTTAGAAGAAACCAGAAGAGCAGGTTTCTGGTTAGCAGCCCGGTTCTTAACCACTGTGCCACCAGGGCTCCTAGGAGCAGGTTTCAACCCAAAACAAAAGCTCATGGCCAAAGCCTCCAGGTCCCAGGTGAGTGCAGCACTGGGGAACACAGAGGCCATAAGGCTTTAGGAAAGGATTATCATTAAATTAAGGATCAGCCTGTGGAACAGAGCCAAAGGGCACCTTTGCTTTCAAGAGTAGAGTTAGAAACAATATAAAAAGGAAAATTTAGAAACTGAACCAAAGAGAAAATGTTTTAAGTGCAGGAAAGTCAGAAATTTCCACAGCGAACAACTGGGAGTGGCTCAGGCACACCCAGTGGAGGAGAACGTGGACTCTGCCCAAGGGGAAGCACCGGGCAAGCCAGTGCCATTCTAAACCCAGCAGCAAAGTGGTTGCCCTAGTGAACACGGCCCAGTGGGAAACGGCGAGCTGGCCTTGCTCTGAGCCCCACCCAGTGGAGCTCAATGCCCCACCCAGTCCAGCCCAACGCACAGTCTTTTTAATCAGCCTCAGAACACGGTCCCACCAGCAGGGAGAATGTAACAGTAGATCTACCTAGCCAAGAAGAGGTTCCCCTGGTCCCAGCGTGACCCCAGCAGTGGTTCAGAGCAGTGCCTGGGGACCCCTACCAGAGGGAACAGTGGGTCTGTTGTTAGGAAAATCCATCCTGAATTCTCAAGGGGCTCCAATTGTTACTGGAGTTGGTCATCAGGATTCTGAAGGAGAACTTGGAGCTACAATGAAATAAGAAATCCCTGGGGTGTAAGACAGGGGGCTTGCACACGCCAGTGTTTACTACCTTTAGTTCCTATGGGCAGTCAGCAGCGCCTGCAAAAAGATGCCTGAAGGTTCAGACCCACATTTAGGACATAAAGGGTTTTTGGAATGCTGCTACGGATGAACACAGATGTCTCTATGTGGACATAATGATGAAGGGAAAGGTCCTAGATCTTTTAAATTCAGGAGTTAGCATCCCTAGTCATCAACAATGGCCCAAGGAAAAGCCCCTACTTGCTCCTGGTTTCCATGTGGAGGGAATAAAAAATCGAGCCAGGAAAAATACAGCAAAGTGGAAAAATTCAACAGTGTATAATGCCTAAGAAGCAGCACAATTTAATTAAGCCTTTAGTCGCAGTCAAACCTCCCAGCCTGTGGGGAAGAGATCCGTTACATAAATTCATTCAGAAAAAGCAGAAAGAGCCATTCTGAACAGATGCTCGAGCTTTGGGTGTTCCTGTGTCTGTCGGGAAAGCTCAGCAAGGCATCGGGGCCAGCTGTGTCTGGACCGACTCCACGGGCACTGCGTGCGGTCATTGCTCCGCGGGCAGAGCTTCTGGATTTATATAAGAATGTCCATGGTCTAAGCAGTTCAACTGGTTTCTCATCAAACAAACCCTTGGCAATTCCTGATGGCATTTTAAAATCTCAGTTACTAAAGCAGAAGAGGGAGAAGCAATGGAAGCCAAAAGGAAGTTCTAGATATGCAATATTTCATACAGCTTTATTAACCCCATATTTTCTCTCTCCAGCAAAAACTTTCAAAATACCTAGAGCAAAAGGATACCTCTCCACCGCTCCCGAGGAAACGGAAAGCCAGAAAAGATTTAGATCAGTGTTTCTCAACCTTCCTAATGCAACGACCCATTCATACAGTTCCTCATGTGATGGTGACCCCCAAACCATAAAATTGTTTTCGTTGCTACTTCATAACTGTAATTTTTCTACTGTTATGAATCGGGCTACCTCTGTGAAAGGGTTGTTCGACCCCAAAGGGATCGTGACCCACAGGCTGAGAAGCACTGATTTAGAGGAAGGACTAAAACCTCATTTGGGGTCCAGGTTTCCTAACAGCTCAAAGAGAAGGGCTGTTTCTGAAGGGGAACGAGAGGGTAGACCAGGCCTCTCCAGCAAATGCAGCCAAGGAAGAAGGAACATCACAATCCCCTCAACAATCATTCGGTACCCAGCTTCTAACAACCCAAAGGAGCGGCTATATTCTTTCATGCCTTTTTGGGGAAGGAGAGGTCCTCTGCAGCGGGGTGCCTGGGAAGGAGAGGACGATGCGTGGGGTGGCGCGTGGGATTGGGAAGACAACCCAGGGGCTTCTTCCTTTCGCAGACATTATCAGAAATCTCAAAGCCACCTCGCCTCCTTCCACAGACGTTATCCCAAGCATCAAATTCATGCCGCTGACAAGTAAGAATGGCAATGCTTGCCTTTCTGAGACTTACAGCAATTTCTGCCGCTGCTACTGTCCCCACACAGACACTCCAGGGCTCTATTAACACAACATCTTATGCAGACGCTCATCGACTGCGGCCACTCAAGCCCATGTGGACCATGAGCTGGAAGAGAAAGTGTCTGAGCTACAACCTTGTTTTCAAATCATGGACTTGCAGCAACAAA